AGACGAAATGTTCATGTCAAAAAAAAATTGTCGACATATTCGTTAAAAGGGAATGGTAGCAAAAGTACCGTTCGTTGCAAAAAAAAAATAATCGAAAAATCAATTTTAAATTTTTTCTTTCACTCGAGCAAAAAAATATATTGCGGAAGTGCTTAATGTAGTAACAAAAAGTTAATGTAAATCATGTTCAGAGGAAAGACCGAGTAGCTAAAAAATTACGCGCCTAAAAAGATCGTCTCATGTGAGAGCCAAACACAAAAGGTTCCGGGCTGTGTAATTAACCACTTTTTATGTGTTTTTGTTTCTTTAGCGGTTGTTTTTGTGCTTTGCTGAAAAAATAATCATTTTTGTTTTTGCTCGACTACGGTTTCAAATGTCAAAAACCTCATTTGCGGCACACACAGAGACGACAGGAAAAGAAAGGGAGGAGTTCAAGAATAGAATAGAATCTAAAGATATTTTTGGCATCTCAATTAGGGTATTATGATGTTTTTCGCTAATAATATGCGATTATGAAAAGAAATTAGAAGGAGGAGAGCTATTATAATTAAGCAAAATTAAGTTATGAAAGCATAAACGTCTTTCATTCGTCAAGGTATGGACAACTAGTCATTGAGCCTGTAATTTTGCAAAATTAAAACGGGAATCATTGACGTTTGAATTCAATGGAACGATTTGTTTGAGTATATAGATTGATATTCTCTCGATACGCATAATTATAGATCAATAGGCAGCCATCGAGAATTTTGTGATTGTATAACAAACAAAACGAGATTACATATCATATTCACATAATTACACATCAAACGCACATTGATTACATATCAAGTACACATCAAATTTAAAAAATTACATGTCAATGCGTATCAATTACATATCATCATCATCAAACATCACTAACATGATCATTTGTTGGTATTTTCCAAAAAAAAAGAATCTTCGATTCCCATAAAACGATATTTCGATAACAGCAGTGATTATTACTGCAATAAACAAAAAAATAATATTTCGCATGAAGCCGCTATAGAGTAATTATCCAAGGTAGAAAATTTATTCTGCTCAATTCTTTTCGCCTCTCGACCGTAGAGAAGGTAAGATTAAAATAAAGAATAAAGAATTTTTATTTTTGCGAAGTGCGGTTCATGAACTTTATGGGCTCAGCCAAATAAAATTGAATGATGCTGAACGAGAGGGAATTGAACTTTATTCAATATTGGGATTCAGAAGAAAAAAAATAATTTTATACGAGGCTCGATTGACTTTTTAACTTTTATATCCTCTGGGAATCAATACATTCCTTGGATATTGAACCTTTTTAATGCATCAATAAGATCCTTATTCCAATTACAGTTACTTTCTTACATAAGGATATCATTCGAATTCAATCAGTTCTAAGACCAGCGACTCGATAAAAAGCTTTCTCACTTTACCGTCTTCTTATTCGCGCATACGCTTTTTACATTAATTGAAGATTATGTTTGTTTTTTTTTTTCATTTTGTCCGTAAACTTTTCTCAATTCTCTCGTTCGACAGGAAGCAACAGATCAGCTTAGCGTTCTTCTTAATATAATTGCTCATAAAAAGTGATTGTTCTGAAGATAATTGACGTTTAAGGTAATTCCATTATAATTTTCATCGTTTTTTATCTGAATTTGATTTAATACTTGTTTTCTGATTGTTTGCAGAGTCGTGTTGTGTTCTTTTTGGATGTTTTATTAGAGGCAAAAATTTTTTTGATTGAGATTTGTTCATGCATAAATTGGAAGATTCTTTTTGAAGTTTACTTCTTTACGGTTATTTTAGGCTGCTACTTGTTGAGGAAATATGAATTGAAGCAAAAACTAATTGATTTGGGATTCACAAAAGATTTAAAGTAAATGATTTGGATATTTTGATATAGATTATGCAAAATGCTTGAAATGAGTGATTGAGGAAGTAAGAATGAAGCAGATTTTCTGAAATTGAGATGCGAAATCTTAAAAATGATGCAAAAGTATGATGCAGAATTCTGAATCAAATGAGATTTTACTTTTGTATCACTACTAAGTCGAAATATTCAAATATTGCCCCAATTCTATTTATAACTGAAACACTCGTTCATAAACATGCAAATTTTAAGCTCCGCAAAAAAGAAATCTCGTTGAAAAGCAAACAATCTTGTGAAGCAAGTAAATGAAAACATAAAGTATAATAAAAGTCTTAATAAATTGTGTACAAATTGTTCATTTTAGATAATTTCATATTCAACAAGCTACATTATCTTGTTATAATATGAACGAAATATCCAATTGAATGTTAAACAGAGAAAAAAGTGCGCAATCATCATTTTGATGACATTTTTAACTTTCATATTTATGTTTTGATGCCTTTGAACTTGAAAGTTAACAAAAGGGTTAAGAATGTGAAAAAAGGTTAAAATTGATGCAGATGAGTAGTCAAGTTACTAATAAATAATTGAGAAATTTCATATGTTGAACACGTGAAGTCAGAATATTGACATTGCAAGTTCAAGCATATCATTTCATGTTTATCAAAATAAATAACACGAAATAAGAGAAAATAAATATTATTAATTTACACAGACCCCATGTTGGGTCGGACACTGTAATTTTAACCTTATTTATTTTCTCGAAATAATTTCACTCGAAATGAATTTAATCTAAATATCGTATGCGATAGAAGCCAAATGGCATCGAGTTTCAAACATGCGTGATTAAAAAAGTTAATGGAGTTTTTTTTATTCTCCTACTTGTGCAAGATAAGATTGCAAATACCTCCCGATCTGACTTTCCAATTTCATGTTCATTTTATGTGCTGCAATTCACTCATCAAAATAAAATAACCTCCTAAAAATGAATTTAATTAAAGTCATAAAGAAGCTTGGTAATAAAAAATTTGAAAATGTACAAAAATAAGATGCTTGTAAGAGAGTATAAAATTCTCATCTTTTTCGACAATCAGCGGGAAAGCAGAAGAAGAAATTTTCATTCTTAGATTGAATAAAACATAAAGCACGAGTAAGCGGGATGGGAAATTTAAGTTTTTGAAACTTTTTAATGCTGTTTTTTTAGGAGAAATGAGGTTGTGAATATCTTTTTGATTGACTGGAATGTTGAGAATAGTTTTGGGGTTTATGAATCAATGCTTGCCACTTTTTTGAAGATTGTTTTAGGTCTCTATAAATAGAATTTACAATATTTGATCAATTTAACTAAGAAAAACTTTTTGAAGTGGACTGACAGGACAAAACTATCTTAAAACATGAATTTTAAAGATTTTCAAATTCTAAAAGACCGTTAAAATATCAAACTGTGATCTTTATTCTCGAAACCTTCAAAACTAAATGAAATGAAAATCAAATTTCGTGTTTCACTTGTTGTTCTCATTTTTTAGTCTTCAACAGCAATTCATGACGATGATGAGGAAATATATGACTCAATTTTCTCATAATTTTACTTATTTTTAACCATCTCAACCCAATTTCGTCTTCATCATCTCCATAAGCAGCAAAAAAATGCTTTCATTGTCCGCCCAATTCAATCAATACAAAAATCGAATAACTTAAAATGATTGAGAACATAAACTGCTTAATCATGTGTCGATCACTTCCTTCCCAATCCAAATTTTCTCTTCTCCTTACATCTATTCTCTATTTAGACGCCCATCAACGACCTAATTAGGCCTTACTCTGCGATATATTTTGATGTTTGCGATGAAAATTGTCTGGCATGTTTGGCTACATGTTTGCTCTCTCGATGATCTACATTACTAAATGATGGACAAATAAATCAAAGCGAAATGAATAATTAGTTTTCACACACTTACATCGGTTGTGTGGAGTCGAGCTAAAAATGCCAATTTAAAGGCACAAAAATTGATTGGAAGTGTAATGGATAGAATGAGAAATTTAAAAAGAAGAGGAGAGATTATAATTGGATAATTGAATCAATGCCAATCGAGATCACTTCCATGGAACTGTAAATTTTTATATATATTTCACACCGCTATTCTTTTCAGTTCTTATTGCCATTCAATATTCAGTTTTTTATGTATCTACCTTCTCATTCGCATTTATTGCCAATATTAATGCTGATATTCATTTCGATATTATTCATAATCGCTACTTATGACTCTTTTTGGGCATGTGGAATTACATATTCATGTGTGAGGTTGCCACCAAAGGAGACTGGAATTAAATTTCTTTCATGTCAAAAAGATTTTCGAATTTTAATTGTATTTGTAACATTATTCAAGGGGCCATGACCTAACTGTATTAAATTAATCATCTTCAGGGCTCAGTATGGGATCTTTTGGTGTGGTTTTAGCGAGGATTTTTGAATACATTGTACTTTATCAATGATTTGCTTTTAAATTTTCGCTTTTGAATCATTTTTGTGCTCTTATGAGAACTTTATATACTGTAAAGCTGTGCTTGCCAACTTTTTGAAGATATTTGAGATATTTTCAAAATGTTATTCGCAATATTTAATTAAATTATATAAGAAATACTTTTTGAAGTGGAATGGTTTTTTTAAGGGTTTGAACTTGTTTATTTTTGAATTTTAAAAGGCCGTTAAATTTCCGTTAGTCATTGTGTTTGTTTTCTTACTTATTCCACCGATTCCACCATTAAATCAATAATTATTACTCTTAAAATTAAGTCGAAACATCGACCTCCATCTGACTCAATGTAAAACAAAAGAGAATTTCATCATCATTGAAGAAGAAATGTGGGAGACCGAAGGACTAGTGAAATTGTCCATTCATAATGTTCATAAAGATTAAATTAATGTGAAATTTGTGATTAAATCGTTGATTTATGATGCAATTAGTGAGGAGCACTTGTGCACATTAATGTCTACATGTGGACATTTCGCCTTTTTTGCTTGTTCACAAAAAAAAATATTGATTCAATTTTATGTGATTATGACATTCGGAATGGTTATGAATGCTCACAGAAATGTCGAATCTTAATGGGTGAAATATATTCAATGACATACCTGCTGTTACGGCTAATGTTAATGCTAATACTATCAGTGCTCCATCTATGAGCCCTAGAAGGCAAGGATTCCTTCTAGTCATGCTGACGTTTTTTTGATTCTGAAATTGGAATGGACAAAAAAAGAATTTTTGGATTAGATAAATAGAATTAATTTAATTATTTATTTTTTATGCTTCATAAGAAAAGGGATTTTCTTGGGATAAGGGATGAAAATTCCTTTTTGAGGTCTTCTTTGTGTTTAGCAATATACAAAACAGCATTAATCATGAAAAAAGTTTTCTTTTAAGATTTATGTATTGTCTCGAGAAAAAAAAAATGCCAAGTGAACCTTTTTCATTCATGTCATTAAGCAGCGCCATTACATTTTTCATGCGATGATTTCCTGTAGCAGGAAATCACCAAGAGATGTACTGTAAGAAGTAATTAACAAGAATTTTTATCAAATTAATTTATGCGTCATTAAACAAGAATTATCGCGTCTTTTTTAAAATATTTAAAGTCATAATCCCCCGAACCCCCCAAACCATTCATAATTTAATAAGGAACGAAATTTATTTAATCCAATTTTATTGCCAACAATCTTGTGATATAAATTAAATCAGCTTTTATTTGAAATTAATGGGCCTTAAACAGATGAAATTGAGACAGACAAGATATTTTAGGTAGACGATAATATAAATAAACTAAGCAGAAAGAGAGGCCAAGTCATGTCGATTCATCAAAATTAATTTGCAAAAGTGATCTTTCATGTTGTAATAAAATAATCATCGATTTCGATAGACCTTTCTCAATTATTCAAGATGAATTTTCTCTTGAGGAACTAAGTTCATTGTGTGATAATCAATTTTAAAGTTTTGAGGATTCTTATTTGAAAAATGGAAATTCAATTTGAGAAATTTCAGTCTAATTTATAAAAACCGTTAAAAACCATACAAATTCTAACATTTTGAAATAACTTTTAAAGGGGTTTGAAATTTCAAATATTATTCAACCGTTGAAAATATGAATATATTGTGAATGTTGAACATTTCAGTCAATTCATCCTCCAATCTCCCAACAGCTGTGTACAGCTATACAGCAATTTTCATAACGTAAAAAAAACATCAACGAAAATTAAGAAATTTGCATAAATAGCCAATGAAATTTTTTGTGAGCATCATAATGCTTAAAATTGAATCACATTGTGCTGAGTCGACATAATTTTATATCTGCTATATAATTTTAGAGTCTTCTCTCTTTAAGTTTTTATAAACGCACGTCGTATCTATTCAACATTCACTTCTTCTTTTTACCGTAACAATCATTCATTCAATAATCGACAACTTCCTTTTTGCCAGCCTTCAAATGAAATTGCAGTATAAAATTAATATGATAAAGAGAATATCATGTATACATGTACGGACCTGATTATAATGCAAGACTCGAGGAAATATTCTTTTTAAAAAGAGTTATTAATTTACGGCTGTCAAAGGCTCTCTGGCAATGAGAGCATACATATTGACATTCATAAATAAATTCTAATTAACTCAAGATGAAATGCCTTACAGCATGCATATTTCAATCATTTCGCACGCGGATTCTTATTTTCTGCTGCCATTGATTAACGGTGCATAATATTTTTATTACTTTAATTCCATTGCATTTCGGCATCGCAGTTGATGATTAATGGAAATTTCCTGACAGCACATTTAAATTAACGATTATGTCATAAAAGATTGAAGTTGACGTGGACGAGAAAATAATGCCTTTATCGACATTTTTTCATGTGCCAAATTCCTCTCTTAAAAAGGTATTTACAGGTGGGATCGTAAATTTTTCTCATGATACCTTTTATGATTAAAAAACATTGTTGGACATCCAATGATACGTGAATTAACTTTGGGCGATGGGCTCTTATTGTGTGAGATTATTAAAGGCACGGCACATGCATGATTAATTTAATTGCAATTCCTTTAAATGTTCATCAATCTGAAAATATGAGATTCACTTTAATTCAGCCTTTTACAGAAGGATGAACTGAGGAATATTCTTCATGTCGATTGCTTTATTACAGAGATTTTTTGGCTCCATCACTGCCCTGTTCACCACCGAATTAATGTCCTTTTCATCAACTTTTAAATCCCCAAAGGTATTGTCATGATGAAATTATAATTGCAAGTGACGCGAACGGCTGATAGTCTCGGTAAAAACAGGAGATTTCAGCATATAAAAATGAGATGATTAATGAAACGTCAGCAATGATGCTTCGACGCTTCTTGTGTCCCTCGTTTGCTTGAATAATCATTTGTCGTAAAATCGTAACTTCCACCTCATTAAATTATTTACATTTTTTATTCGCACATCTCCTGTGTCTTTTATGGCTATACAGTCTATTTATGTGACTCATTTAAAAATGAAAGGCTTGTTTTTATGTCAATAGAAAGAGAAACAACAAACATACGCAGCGTGATCTCCAAAAAAATACATATTACCGTTGCCGCAATTTTAATCTGTGCTGAATTTTTTTTGGACATTTCTTAAACTCGATTCTACATATTATGTTTCGGTTCCATTGGTGATTATAGACGGGAAAGAGAATCAGTCATATGACAATAGCTTAATGCGGTAGAAACGAGTCAATTATCTATCTTTAGATGACATATTTTCTTCAATTTTATGTCATTAGTCGGAATTTAAATGGAACTGAGCTGCTTAAATGGACATTTTTAGTGTCTCGTCTAATTCCCTTCAGGGCATTATCTGCACTCGTTTAGAGACGAAAAGTAGCTCAAGTTTTACAATGTTGTTACTTTCTAACATATGATAAATCTGCCTAGACTTTCTAAAGAATTTTTTCCTTTGTGTGGGCTTCGATATTGGAACTAGAACATGTGTTACGTCATGTAGAATGTGAGAGTTGAGTTTTGAAGAACTGGGTGGGATGAAGGAAGTGAATTTGGTCTAGTTTTGATGTGGAATGTTGGGGAACTATTTTTAATGCATAAAACTTGATTTATATCCCCCTCATGGTCTCTATTATAAAGGAACAATTGCAGCATTGGCACTTAACATTTTTCCAAGTTGATAAAATGCTTAACTTCCCACAGAACCTCCAAAAACACAAAGCTATTTCAATAAAACCCCATTAAAAATCCCACAAAACAATTTAACAACAATTTCACCGTCAATCATCAAAATTATATAACAGACCCTGTTGCTAATGGATGTGACGCAGCTCTTTGATTTTTGCCTTATCACAGTAAGTACTTTCAATGAGATACAATAATGCTATTATGTAAAAATGTTCTGTTTTTTTTCTTCATCGTTGAAACACTTTCGCTTGCCTTCTTTTCCTCTTTTGTAACTTTTTGTGTGCTTCTTTGAAATTGTTTGGCCTAATCAGCCTACACACAAAGTGATTTTAAAGACGAAGAATTCTTGTTTCTAAACAACATAATATTTATCGTCGATGAAAAGGAATTTAATGGAGAGGGAGAAGAAGGGTTGAAGATTGGAAGGAAAATATTAAAATTTGGAATTTTTGGAAGCATCAAATAACGAGAATTCGAGATTCAAATTCGTCACGAAATTTTGATAAATTCAAATACTTTTCTAACGGTTTTTCTTTCTCTAATAATTTTGTCAAGTTTCTAAGCCTTAACATTTGTCATGACAAGTAATAAAGATCAATCCATCTTAAACTTGCTGATTTTAATTATAAATAATACGGAACAATAACATTTCAACTTATTTCTGTATTCAGAATCTAATTATAAATTTTCGAGCATTCATATTGATCAATAAACTGCTGAAGTAGCCAAACCGAATCAATAACTGGGTCTTCAAAGAATTAACTGCACAAAACTTATTTTTTTGCGCAATCAATTAGTTCATCATGAAGAAGATTAATTATAACATTTTATTACGGTCAATTAATCATGCATATGTTATGTATGTGTGCCAAAACAAGCAGAAGCAGCATCAGCATATTTCTTCATACCTTATTATTTCCATATAGATGTTCGAAGCTAGCTAGTGAGAAGGCAGATTATGTACAGAACATTCAAAAGAATGCTTATGCTTAAATATTTATACCCTATCCTATGTAGATGTTCATAATAATTATGCACGACACAGCAACTGGTTTTTTTATTCATTTCTCCTCCAGCTCATTGTTAAAGACCGTAGTGCATGATTTTCATGGTCTTGTGTACTTGAACTTGGTCACAAATGAAAATAAAAGAAACAATTGTAAAGTGTGGTGCTTGCATTGAATGTTGAGCGCATTTATGACGGCATAGTGAAAGGAACTAGATGATTAGAGCCAAAAAAATGCTTGTGTGATGCATAGCTAATGAGAAAATGGCATCGAGCCAATATTATGGCAAATAGATGAACAATTTAGTAGATTAAGCTACAATATTCCACAAACAAATTGGTCGATATGAGAAAATTCATTAAGGTGAACTTTGCGGTCGTTCAAAAATGATTTTCAACATGATAGCAAGAGGAAAAAGCCTTTAAATACAGTTCATTGATGGACATCACTTCCAAAGTCGACCACTTAACTTAAATAAATAATTTGCAATAAAACCTAATGAGTAAAAACCGAGACGAGAATGCCAATAGCAAATAGCCTTATCTCCATTCCATTCTATGGAAATTAGGTTCATTTATTCTTTCTCATCCAATTCTATCCTCAATATTGTATGTATGTGCTTTAAAAATAGTAATGCATCTCGATTCCAATGCTGAGATAGAAAGCTTATGTTCGATGAATATTTCATCAACAGATCCTCAAACTTTAATGCTCACAACCAGCAAGCAAGCAACAGTAGCAGCAGCTGTTTATAACAAATATATTCCATTATCGATTGGTAAGTTTTATGAACAAATGAGGCAAAAATGTTGATAGTGTATGGTTCAATTAAGGAAATTGATATGCTTGATACTGGGGGTCCTCGATTTGAGTAGTTGTTTTGTTCCAAAAAATTTCTACTCAAATCGAATCTATTCAAATCGAGGCAAAGAATCCATACAAAATCACATGTTTTGTTCCAGAGTCCAAAAAATGTATCAAAACAATGAAAATTATGATAATTTTTTGCACATTTTACCT